TCTCTCTCTCTCTCTCTCTCTCTCTCTCTCATGTTTTAATAGACCAGGAAAGCATTGAGAGATAGAGTATAATAAGTATTGGCATAACATATAAATTACATATTTTCGGTGTCTCCACAAAAATACTATTAAGATATTGTGTAGAGATATGTGTGTAAAGGGAGGGATAATGTCTTTTTCCGGGAGTTATAGTTATGGTTGAAATGAATGTCCACACAGTATATCGATATCACACCTAAATGACAGTCTCATATAATACATGGCCGGTGCAAACACCCCGATGTATATACACATACAGTATATACTGTATATAAAAATGACCACAAATGTGATGTGCGGTCGGGGAGGTCGACACACAGATACAGGGGCTCTAATAACCTTAACTTACATAACATTTATATTATAGAACATTGTATTGTATCTAATATTATATGATATATAAGTTATTAAAGGGATCGACGCTTAGGATTGGATTGAAGTGATTATTGTATTATTAATATTATTAGATATTTTCGGCAACTGATGTGTTTTGTAGGGCAACGGGTGTGGGAGTGGGGGTGCCATACAGTGTGTGGCATACACTGACTACACTGACCAATACATGTCTCTGTGTACACAAGGAAATCAACTTGTCTTTAGATAATGAATCGCTCGATGACTGATGCGATCGCTTCCATCGATAGCCGCACTAAACCGGCGCTCAATTTAGTGGACAATGCAATGGACACATCATATGATCATATGATCAAACCATCTCGTTATTCATCATCCCTTTCATCAAATATATCTTTTTTCTTTCAATTTCTCGTTTCTAACACTCATTCAAAACACATTATTAGAAATGTGTTGTATTTTTAATTAAAATGTTTCCATTAAAACATCACAAACCATAAAATTAAATCACAAAATAAAACTTTATTATCAAATAGTTTTTGGCTTAATTCAAATACAACTGATTTTAATTAAAATATTGTAAATAAATTGTAATTTTAATGTTGAGAACATAATTGCATTTTAAAACACAATTACTAAATATATTGCCATTTGAAGTAATTTTAACAAATTTAAAGCCAAAAAGGGATCACTGAATGGATGTGTTGTTAGAGGAGGTCATCAAAAGTGGTGCCACTGTAGCCAACATTGGCTTTGTTTAGATCCACAAAATTAATATAGCACTTGTCGGCAGCGATTCCCAACTCTTTGGCCAAATGGGCTGAAATGGCCTTCGAGTGACTCTTATTGAGGTCGCGACCGATCTGTCCGATACTCTCGACCGAAACCATACCACACGGACCCTCAACACCACCTAATCGTCACCACAAACACATCCAACCGTTAGTTTTGACAACTTTGTTAACTATCATCAAAATGAATGCAAACCCCAATTCATGAGCTGATCCGGCAATACATGGACGACAACGTATGACTTGGGCTTTCCCAACGTCTTCGCCACCAAATCAACCGTCGAGGACAAGAAGTTGTCCGGGATTTTAGCCGCCGGTATATTTGTCTGCAACTTAAACAATGGCATCGCTTCCACACTAAGACTATAAGACAATCAATCCATTCATTAATTCAATACATGTTTTCATTAATACATAAATCAAATGAAATACCGATTAATGAGACAAACAATCAATCGATGGATCGATAGATCAGTTCAACAGATAATAAACAACTCTTTTGTATTGAATTACACTTTAAATGGCATTCAAAGCGCCGTCTATTGAGTCACATCTGGGCTCACATTTACTCCTCTCAAAAACAACGTAACGTTTGTTTGTTTTGCAGTCCAAAGGGTTTTACACTTATAACACATACAACTTGTATATTAGGGAATCAATTGCTCACACTTTACACCCCTTTTATTTGTCACGTTATATAACATAAGTTATCAGCCATTTAGTAATACAGTATATTCTCGTTATAATAAACTTTATTATTTAAAATATGATTTATAAAATAAATGAGTTGTAAAATTAAAAAGTTAAATTAAGCATTTGAATTAATTGTGTATTTATACCAACATTTAATAATAATAAGCAAATAAAACATTATAAGTGATAGTAATGTAAATGAATGTGTAGTGTATTGAGTGTAAGAGTGAGTGAAGTAGGCGTTGAGTGAAAGACAAACAGTTATTAATTGTATTGAAAATTAAGACATATTTTGGACAATAAAGACGCGAAACGATAGGAAAGGAGTGAAAAGATAGGAAAGATGTTTCTCGAGAGTGTGTTTAACGCAGACAATGGATATCTGGAGGCATTGGTGCGCGGCTTCAAGTGTGGTATCTTAAGACAGACTGATTATCTCAATTTGGTTCAATGCGAGTCACTCGAAGACCTGAAACTACACCTGCAGTCCACCGATTACGGCAACTTCTTGGCCAATGAGGTCTCGCCCATCAATGTCTCCACCATTGACGACAAGTTGAGGGAGAAATTGGTGATTGAGTTCCAACACATCCGCAATCACGCGGTCGAACCGTTGGCCACATTCTTGGATTACATCCAATACTCTTATATGATCGACAATATCATACTTCTGATCACCGGTCAGTCATCCACAGTGCCATTCATTGAGATAATTGACTCACATATTGTTGATCCAAATGACAGGTACTTTACACCAGAGACCGTTATCAGAGCTGATCCCGAAGTGTCACCCCTTGGGTTCGTTTGATCAGATGGAGGCGATTCACGTGGCGGCCACTCCGGCCGATCTGTACAACGCTGTTCTGGTGGACACACCTCTGGCGCCCTTCTTCGTCGACTGCATCGGTGAACAGGATTTGGACGAAATGAATGTTGAGATCATTCGTAATCTCTCTCTCTCTCTCTCTCTTTCAACATTTCTTTTTTCAACGCACTCTTCAATTAAAAGCATTATTAACAGAATTTTTCATTTTCGGATAACTAAACAAAAAATGAAAATCCATAAATAAAAAGTTTAATAAAAAGGACAATGTTCATATCCGGCCCAGAGTGCAATAAGGAATTATTGTTATAAAATAAGAGTACACTAATAAAGGAGTCTAGTGGTATACTTAATTTGGCCAGATGACCTCGGGCCTGGCCACAATGACCACTTTTATCGGGAAATTTCAACTTATTTAATATTAACATGTGATATATCGTTTTGATGTAGAATCTAACGTAGATTACGATTATCTATTCAGAATTTTGATAGATGTTATAGTTTTTAAAATATTAATTGATTATTGAATTTATATACACATTTTAACAGTTCCCATCCACGGCGACGACATTCCCACCCCTGATCATGACAATCTAACATCGGCGACAACTACCTGTCCCACGCAATAACATTCCCGATGATAATCCCATTGGGTGACAATAGTCTCTACTTCTCAAATGCATTTTTATTCCCACCACGTGTTATTCTCATTCATTATCCTCCAAATCCACGCAAACTTCATCTAAGAAGGCAGCGGGATTTGAAATCTCAGGTTGGTGTCTACCAAACCCGAGATACCACAAAACTGTTGCTACATGGCCACAGCAGCCAACAGTTCTGAGGCCATTGGGACATGAACAGGAATAACCTGATAGAGCCTTGACACCATCCTCTTCATCTTCATTAATCGTAGCACGATCAATGAGAATGTAGATATAATGATTTGTACGGTTATGGTGTCGCGACTGTATTCGCCCTCTGATCAACATTGGATCCTCAACTGAAAGATCATAAGAAGTATATGATAGAGATTCTAGATGTTTAGAAAGCTCTATTATATACTTCCCGTCGGTCTTACTATGCTCAGCATAATAAGATCGAGCTACTTTCAGTTGGAACGATCCAAGTGTGATCGATCGGAGATCTTCTTCAGAAAAATAGGGAAACTCATCGAGTTCTGAACTCGCATCAATTGTTTCCCATTTATCCGAAGAATATGTCCGATTTAAGTTAAGAGCTGCAACCATTTGAGCGAGGTTGTTGTCTTCATTAAGCCGAGCTTTCATAGCTTGAGTGAGGGCAAACCCGTCTCTCACATCAGACTCGTAAGTCGGATGAAATACATTCAGAATTGCACAAACAATTCTAAAATCTTTCATCATGTGAGGGAGAGATTTGTTAGGCCACACTCGATCGAAATCACGGTAGCATTGTTTGATGTGACCATTTCTGGCCTCAACAATATACCTGCACTTCGTGACAAATCGAGTCTTATTTGCTTGAGCCGTGGTAAGTTGTTTACCTTTATTAGACTCAGGCAAATGAACATCCAACCCTAACGTCCTCAGATGTTCGGCGACGTCCCTGAACCCCCGATCAACTAAAACAACATCGTTATCTTCCAAACCCGCTTTGATCTCATTTGATAGTCGCTCCATGATGGTCGCATCATTGACCACGGCTTCATAAGGCCCGAACGCGTCAATGATGTAACCATCCGGGGCAACCACCATAAACGGCTTGAGAAGATTCCGATGTTTCTGAACACTGTAGCTCTTCCGCTGAAAGCGAAAGTTGGAGCTCTTTTGGTGGTAAATATAAGTGCCATCTGCAATGATGGCAACTTTGTCTTCACCACAAAAGAGCTCTCGTGCCACAGTGGTAACATGTGACTTGAGTTGTTCCCGAGTTAGATGGGAAAAACCCAAGTGCTGTTCAGCCCACTCGCTTAATGCGCTCCTCGCTTTTACCACTAACCTTAAAGCAGTCGTACGGTTAACTCCTGTCAGACTAGATAGCCTGCTATCGGAGTTTCCCGTACGACGCTTGATCAACCAAAGTCCAAGGGCTGTTCTTGGACGCTGGTTTTCTAACACTGTTAGAGAAACAGCTTCCAAAAACAGTTGATTAAACTGGTCTATTGAAAGACCAGTCCAATCTTGGACTATTTCATCAGCCATCGAATTTATATTTTCAAAATCGAGAAATGGTAGACGCGGTTGTATGCGCAACAAGTCAACCATGTCTTCGATTTGATCAGAAGTATAGGATACAATATCAGATGATAATTGATCCCAACTTTTACTCTCCAAATGCAATGGACATATCCTCACATTTGGTGGAATATAAATTCGATAACTCGCGAGGACTTGTGTTCGAATTTCAATAGGCAGCACCGAGCGCTGAGAAGACCAATGGCCAAATACACAATTGCGCTGTGTACTTGCCATTCGTGGAATTGTCAACTCAATCCCACTCATTGCCATCTGAGGGGAATTGTTTTCACACTTTCTACTATTGGTCTCAGCAGTCCTATAAAACTGCCTTTGGCATTTGGCACAAATGTGCATCTGTTCTAGAGGAACGTAAGCATTATTTGGAATATATTGGATTCCCATACATTCCAAATAATGCTTACGTTTCTCTTGAACAAGATCTCTCAGCCACAATTTTAACGGCCCTTTAAGGGCGAACATTTCTCCAGTGCCCGGTTTATTTCCACACCCTGGACATGACAACTTTATGTCATGTCTAGGTTGTGAAAATTCACCTGGGTCTTCCCAACCACTGGAAATATCTTCGCCCCGTGGATCAGGGCAACCACTTCCCGTTCCTGTACTCAAACAACCACCAGAAGTCAATTGAGACACCATTGGAGCCCTGGTGTTAGACTCCGAATGGGCGAACTCACTCACAGAGTAAGATCTCTTCATATCGTCAAATAATAAATGAAATGAAAATAATTGAAATGAAATGAAAAAAACAAAAATAATTGAAATGAAATGAAAATAATTCATATGAAATGATAATTAAATTGAAAATAATTAAATAAAAATAAATCCTAAATAATGGCTGACAGTTGTATCCAAACAATTGGAACCGATTTGTGGCCAAAGAGTGGTCGAGAGTTGTGTCCACACTATTGGCGCCGAATTTGGGTCAACAACTTGCCGACAGTTGTGTCCACACGATTGGCACTGATTTTAGGCCAAATAGCGGTCGAGAGTTGTGTCCACACGATTGGCACTGATTTTAGGCCAAATAGCGGTCGAGAGTTGTGTCCACACGAATGGCTCTGATTTTAGGCCAAATAGTGGTCGAGAGTTGTGTCCACACGAATGGCACTGATTTGCGGCCAATTAGTGGTCAAGAGTTGTGTTCAAACGTTTGGCACTGATTTGCGGCCAAATAGAGGTCGAGAGTTGTGTCCAAACTATTGTCACTGATTTGTGGCCAACGAGTGGTCAAGAGTTGTGTTCACACGAATGGCACCGATTTGTGGTCACAAAGTGGTCGAGAGTTGTGTCGATTTGCAAACAATTTGCAATGAATTTGTATTTAAAACAATGTTTTAAAAAATGGCGCAAAAATACATTTAATGCAATCAATGCTAACAATAGCTATAGTATGGGTTTTCCCCCAAATTTCAATGCATTTACGTGTTCACAAACAACGTTACGATTTTTGGGCCAAAATGCTATGGACTTTGAACAAAACCCTTTATGAATAAATTTAATAAAAATAATGTTTAATAATTTTAATATATTGTACATTTAGTTACACTGTACTGTATATACTTTGGAAAATAGGGTAAAATTATCAATTGTTTAAAATCTTGTTTATGAAAAACGTTTATTGAGATTATTATCAATATTCTTCAAAGCATTGCTTATTATACTGTAGATACGATATTTTGATTTAATATTGAGAGAGAGAGAGAGAGAGAGAGAGGGGGGGGAGAGAGATTACAATAGACCAGTGCCTCTGAATTTGGTTTG